GGGCCCTGCATTCACTATATCCGGTCTCCCCAGACCCAGCATTCACTATATCCGGTCTCCCCGGACCCTGCATTCACTATATCCGGTCTCCCCAGACCCCGCATTCACTATATCCGGTCTCCCCGGACCCTGCATTCACTATATATGGTCTCCCCGGACCCTGCATTCACTATATCCGGTCTCCCCGGACCCCGCATTCACTATATCTGGTCTCCCACAGTGCACACAACATGGAAATGCAATTATTTTAGTAAATATAAACTGCTAAATCTTTTTTCTCATCAGAAGTTAGAGCAGTCTTGTGACTTCTATCAGTGTCCAGCAAAGCATTGGTTAATCTTGTAGGATTCTGTTCTGACTGTCCAATGAGGCTGCATTAATCACTGACTCTCTGTCTGAATATCGCTGATTGGCCCTGTGCCGATCACATGCACCCTCCCAAAGAAAAAAAAAACTCTCTATCCATACACCCTATACTGAGCATGTACAGAGTAACTCCGAGAGCTCAGTACTATCAGCAGATGGATTGAGGACAGAAGGGGAGGATCAGAAAAGACAGGATCAAACAGCCTTTTTACACAGTGTGGAGGACTAACCCCTTTGGGTCCACAGTGAGTATAACAAGCATGCTTTGCTGCATCTACAGACAGATTGTACTGTTAGTAACACTTTAATGAAAAACGTTCAACCAGCACATTCCTTTTTTTTTTGTCATAGTCGCACAGAGCAAATGTACATTCGCTGAGCGAATTTCTGTTCACTTTTTTTTATATAAACATCCTTCACTTTGTTAAAGTCCCACGTATCATAAACAAGTGTCATGATTTTTCTTTCAAAAAGTACTTTTTTGACCTTTTTATGCTAGCAAATATTGCAATTTATCTTTGGTCATTTTCTTTTTCCATGAGAAAAGGGAACAGTCCTTTTGTGGACTAACCAGGGGCGGACTGACAGCTCATGGGGCCCCCGGGCAATAGGCGATCCTGGGGCCCCTGTGTCCTTGCCCACACCCAAAAAAGCCTATGAAAAAGCCAATGAAAGGTACCAGGGGCATCTCATGGGGCCCCCTAATGACCCCGGGCCCTTGGGCAGTGCCCGAGTGCTTGAATGGTCAGTCCGCCCCTGGGACTAACACTCCAAAGTAATTCTTATCCCGGGAAGGACTGACACATTGGCATTCAGCATCTACTTCTTGGATGGGCAGAGATGCAGAATAGACGCGGATAATGCCGATCGTCTTACTCTTCAGCCAGAACATTGTGATTTTCTGTTACTCGATGTGCTTTGATATAACAGAAAATTATTCATTTTTCATTTTCCTGCCGAAAACTAATCCGGGCCTCATGAAAAGACATATGAGGGGCATTAGTCCTGACATGGCGAACTGTGAGCTAATGATGACTGGACATCTTCTGCTCGTAACGTGGAGATATCAGATTTAGCCCCCCCCCCCCCCCCCCCCCCCCCCCCCCCCACACTCGGTGTGATTCAATATGAAATAAATAACAATAGTTTACTGTCAAAGATTTGAGTCAGATTGGGCCTGACAGGCCGAATTAATGTGCCCAGGAAGAGCTGTGGCCTTGTCTGTACTCATGGGGGGGGGGGGGGGGGGGGGGGGGGGGGGGGGGGTTCAGGACCTCAGATCTCGTTTACAGTCAGTGGACCTCAAATTGTCAATTGAAGCATCATTTTAGGCCAGTGGCCTGAGAGTTACTAGAGGAATTTACATAGATTTATAGACGTTAGTCTCTTGCTTTCCATCTGTAAACTACCTGAGAAAAAATTAAAATGGAGATGATTATTGGTTGGTGTTGGCAGAATGGATAGTTTTTACTTCAGATCAGGGACGGACTGACCATTTGGAAACTGGCCCGGTGTCAGTAGGCCCCATGAGATTCCCCTGGTACCTTTTTCATAGGCTTTTTTGAGTTTGGGCAAGGCCACAGGGGCCCCATGATCCCCTATTGCCCCTATTGTCAGTCCGCCCCTGCTTCAGATAATTCTAGATAAGACTCTGGTCACAATTGAGACACAAGGGCAGAGCTGACCATAACAGGACATGCCTGAACAAGGACCTCCATGGATGCCGATTTTGGCAAAAAGGCAATGGTGTTGAGTGCAAAAGGCTTTAAGTGGCTCATGGGTAGAAATGAACCCACAGGAAACTATCAAATGATAGCAAAATACCAGCCCAATTAGCTGCGGCCTTGGAATTTCCTACCCTGCAGCTCCACTTAATAGAATAGGGATTGCCATGACCTGTACACAATGGAGAAGTCATCCTGGGGCAGCCATTCAAGTGAGTTCTCTGGGATCTACAGTATCATCCTTATTGTGTCATCACTGTTGTCTTATCTGGTTTTCTGATAGTGACAACAGTGATCCATGCTTGCAATGTATGTGGAAACGGCCTCTTGTAGTCTTCAGCAGATGTCCACGTGACAGGGTTGTAGGCAGGTGCAGTCTGTTTTCTCCCCACTGTAGGTGGCACACGACCTAAGTGGTACCACAACTGGAGAGGAAGTTAAGGGAAACAAGGCTTCTCTATGGTTTCCTGTGTCTTGGAAGAAGCATTCCGGCTGGCTATGCTGCATCCAAATAACCCCTGGCAGCCATCTTGGGTCAGCAGAGTCTTTATAAGTCCCTGCCCCTAGGTTTTGAAGCTCTTTTGTGAAGTGGCTAGAGACCTTGCCTGTCAAGGAAAGTGGTTAGTGGTAGAGAAAAGTTCCAGATGAGAAGGGACAGGTTAGGGACTCGCCTTCCTGCAAGAAAGCCTTCCCTTTGGCAATCCTACTTGTGAACAGACGTTGTCTGCACATCTCCTCCCATTCTATCTCTGCATTTGAACTGAACTGTGAGTGTTTCCCTAAGTGGTGTTCTCCCACCTAGGGTGTTCCACGTTTTTTGCAACCGGACTCTGTGTCTTCACTCCCGCTGCATCAAGCTGCACTTGCCCACAGGGTGAGAATCAGGAGCACAATTTAGACACAAGGGCACAGCCGAACATAACAGGACGTGCCTGAACGTGGACCTCCATGGATGCCGATTTTGGCAAAAAGGTAATGGTTTTGGGTGCAAAAGGCTTTAAGTGGCTCATGGGTAGAAAGGAACCCACAGGAAACTATCAAATGACAGCAAAATACCAGCTCAATCAGCTGCGGCCTTGGAATTTCCTACCCTGCAGCTCTACTTAATAGAATAGGGATACTGGTGACATCATTGAGTTATGATAGTCATATGGCCATTGTTGGACAATGTCATTGACCAATGATGGCCATGTGGCTACAGCAGATCAATGACATCAACAGCATCCCCACCCCTTTACAGGTTCGGCTGCAGGACAGGGAATTCCATGGCTGCTGAAGTTGACTAGGCAGAAGATCATGCAGAATGTAAGAACAGACAGAAACACCAGAATCTGCAGAGGAGGTAGAAACACCCAAATCCCTAACGGGGGCTGGAACACCCAAATCACTATGGGAACTGGAACACCCCACATCTCTAAGGGGGTGGGAACACTCACATTTCTAAATGGACAGGATCACCCAAATCCTTAAGGGGGCTGGAACAACCAAATCTCTAATGGGACTGGACTGGGACACCCACATCTCTAGAGGGGTAAGAACACTCATATTTCTAAATGGACAGGAATGCCTAAAATTTTTAGGGCAGTGGGAACACCCACACCTCTAAAGGATGACAGAATGACACAATTCTCCAAGAGGTTTGAAAACATCTAGATCTCAAAGAGGACAGAAACATCAAAATATACTTGGGGCACAAATTCCCAAATCTCTAAGTTGGGCTGGAAAACCCAATTTTCTGAGAAGGATGGCAATGCCCAGTTCTTTAAGGGGGGGTAGGAACACCCAAATGTCTAAAGAGCAGTAATGCCCAAACCTCGAAGGCAGTGGGAACACCCAAATCTCTTGGAGTGGTAGGAACATCAAAATTCCTTGGGAGGGAAGCACCCAAAACAGATGGGATGAGTGTGAACTTCCACACCTTTAAGATGAATAAAAATGCTATCAACTCTAAGTTGGGAGGGGACACCCATAACTTTAAGATGGGTGGGAAAACAGACAACTGTAAGGTGATCTAGAAGACCCACAACTCTAACATGGGTGGGAATGCCTACAACTATAAGGTGAGTAGAAATTCCTACAACTTTAAGGTGGTTGGAACTCCCCCCATAAAATGAGTGGCAACATCCATATCTCAAAGGTGGTAAAGATTACCCACATTTAAATTTGTGATAAACAACCTCAACTATAATGTGGGTGTAGCACCACCCTTCTAGTTAGCTAGGGGGAGCTAGTTGATTTTTTTTTTAGTTAGAAGGCTGAGTAGCAGCCTGGGTGATAGTCAGAGGGGTCACATTTGGGTCAGGGCTGAGAGGCTCTGCAAATCAGCTCTCTGATACCTCCACCTGATCTAGAGACTTGGAGAAGTCTCTAGATCATGGGACGGGGGTGAGAATGAACTGGTCTGCACTCTTGAGGGATCCTGGCCAATCCCCAGGCAGGAGGCTTGGCATGGGGTCAGGACAGCCCGCCCTTAAGAGTGACTGCTCAGAAGCAGGAGAGTTCTGGTGGAAGATGTTGAAAAGGCTGAGATGCAGAGGCTTGGGAGGGGGCTCAGTGGGAAGGGGCCTACCTCCAGACAGGGTGCTGGGAAGGAGGATCACTAAACCTCCAAGGTGGATGGGCATCTCTAAAGGGGCTGGAAACATCCACAGCCTTAATGTTAGTGGCAAAGGGACATTAAGTAAATAGATCTCACCACTAGAATTCCCAAGAGGTATATGAGGTTGGGGTGTGACACACTCCACCAGATTCCACCTACAGCTGTAGCATTGCTTTTGGTGGACTAATGCTTTAAGCGGACAGCCTTTCTAGTCAGCTGACGTAACTGAATTTCTGATATGTTCCAGGGCAAGGATTATGAAAAAAGATTGGTGAACTCCATACGGTCAGTATCACATGGAGAACACTCACCTGAGCTGCTCCCGTGCTTGCATCACCACAAAGTCCCACGTGTGGTTGATTCGTTTGTGCAGCTGATTGTAGTTATCCTGTTATAACATAAAGAGAATGGAATAGAGGTTTCTTTTGGAGCAATCTACTAAACAAACATGACAACATGTTAACAATACAACTCAAAGCTAGTCATGACCAGGGGCAGACTGACAACTCATGGGGCCCCTGGGCAATAGGGGATCATGGGGCCCCTGTGTCCTTGCCCAAACTCAAAAAAGCCTATGAAAAAGGTACCAGGGGCATCTCATGGGCCCCCTATGGACCCCAGGCCCTCGGGCAGGGGCCCCATGATCCCTTATTGCCCGGGGGCCCCATGAGTTGTCAGTCCGCCCCTGGGTGTTAGTCACATGCTCCCCATACCCAGAAGTACCAGGAACTTCTCTTTGTATTTGGAACCTCAGCAGAGCATCACAAGAGCAAAGGAAGGGTGATGAGGTGCTGAAGGACAGCACAGTGGCTAAATGGTTAGCACTTCTGCCTGGCAGTACTAGGGGCGTTGGTTCGAATCCCAACAACAGCACCACCTGCCTGGAGTTTGCATGCTCTCCCTGTGCCTGCATGGGTTTCCTCTGGGTACTCCAGTTTCCTCTCACACTCCAAAGACATGCTGGTAGGTTAATTGGCTCCTGTCTAAATTGTCCCTAGTATGTGTATGTAGGAATGTGAGTTAAGGACCTTAGAATGTACACCCTTTGAGGGTTAGGGACTGATCTGAATGTACAATATATATGTAAAGGAACATGTAAATTGACAGCACTATATAAGTACCTAAAATAAATAAAATGTGGAGAGAGAGCAATGGAAAAGCACAAGCATATTTTTTATTCTTACTGCAGATTGTACGGTAAAATAATTTTTAAATTTGATTTCCATTTTTTTCATATGTTCATCATTGTATTAAATGCAGAGGTTTGTAGGTTGACCAATAGAGGGAGCTCTGTATTTGATTCAGCTTGACTCAGCCCCTCTGCTTAACCACTGTTGTGATAAGATTTCAGCCACACAGGGAGTGCATTGTTTTGAATAAGTCACCCGACCTAAAGACTTGCAATGTGAGAAAGAGAAATAAAATCCATTCATAGTGTAGACATGTAAAACAGGAACTATACAGACTGTATAGGTACTGAGCAAATAGGACTGCCCCCATGCACATACATAAACAGAAACTATATAGACAGAAATATTCTGTAGAACTTATCATATCCTTAGTTAAATCAAGCTGATCTCTTTAAGACATGTAAGTTAAAATCATTAACAAGATTACACATTCTCTTTAAAGTGGAACACCGGGATGAAAACAAAAATCAGTGAAACCCCTTAACCTAGATTCTAGACTTAGGAAGAGATAATAAGATATCTTTATGTAATGCATTGAAAAGGCAACTAGAACAAATACCTTAATCTGTCTTGACCAGGGGCGGACTGACCATTTGGAAACTTGGGCACTGCCCGAGGGCCCGGGGTCAGTAGGGGGCCCCATGAGATGCCTCTGGTACCTTTTTCATAGGCTTTTTTGAGTTTGGGGAAGGACACAGGGGCCCCATGATCCCCTATGGCCCGGGGGCCCCGATCCTGTATGCTAAAAACAAACGAATGGGGATCCCCATTCATCCGGCGGATCGGATGACAGTCGGGTGAAAACGGACAGGAGGTCTGCCTTGTCTGAGAGGGGCGTTATAGGTGCTAATATGCCCATTGCAAAAGCACAGCACATGGAGGGAACGCTACTGTGTCAGGTCAGATGAAAGAGAAAGACTTTTGGAACTTGTTTTCAAACATTACCTCTGTACAAGAGATCCTGCGCAAAAATGAATAGCTCACCTTCTCATACTCCACCAAATCTCCTTGTTTTCTGATGTTTTTCTTTGCCAGATAAATTGCTAAAGAATAATATCACAATAGGGAAAAAGATATTATTACAGAAAAGGTATGCAACTTCTCAAAGTCTATCTATCTATCTATCTATCTATCTATCTATCTATCTATTCATATCTATCTATCTATCTATCTATCTATCTATCTATTCATATCTATCTATCCATATCTATCTATCTATTCATATCTATCTATCCATATCTATCTATCTATCTATTCTATCTATCTATCTATCTATCTATCTATCTATTCATATCTATCTATCTATCTATCTATCTATCTATCTATCTATCTATCCATATCTATCTATCTATCTATCTATCCATCTATCTATTCATATCTATCTATCTATCTATCTATCTATCTATCTATCTATCTATCTATCTATCTATCTATCTATCTATCTATCTGGCCAATGTCCCTGAAAGCTAGAAATCACTGAAGTAAACACCGCTACTCCAATGATCTCCACTTGCTGCCGGGTCATATGCCAAGTGGCTGTCCTGCTGCATTCTGAACACAAGAGGTCGGTCACTTAGCATGGGCACCTTTCAGAAAATGCTTTGAATTTTATAAATGAATGCAAATAACTGGTTGACCCTGCCAAAGGAGGGTCAACCAGTTATTAAGTCCAAAGGTTCACATACGTTTTCCTCCCTGCACTGTGAATGTTTACATGTTATGTGCAATTAAACCATGGCAACATCTAATGTTTGTGTAGTATTATGTTCAGCAGACTGTGTTCTTCTATTGTTGTGACTTAGATGACGTTCAGAGCACATTTTATGCCCAATTCATGCAAAAACTCCACGTAATCCCAAGGGGTTCACATACTTTTTCTTGCAACTGTATGTATAAAATGTCCATACCTGGAATTATTCTTTAATATTACTTTTGAGCCAAGTGTTTTGCTGAAATGTAAGTTATTTTATAATCTTGATACCAATATTACAAAATATATTGTGCCAAAACTAACCCACATCACAATACTTCACCGCTGAAAGTTCAGGCCCCAATATCTAAACTATCAAGAGATCTATGCCGAATGTCTGTGCCAAATAGAACTGGTTTGGGTTTACCATCCTTAATCTCTGCCTCCTTTAATTCAATTTATGTTATAAAAAACAGTAATAATAATAATTACCATAGTCCAGTTCTGTAGCAGGCCATTTGTTGGTTGTCCAGAAGTATGGAGTCTAGAAAACAATAATCAGATGTGAAATTGGTAAATGCATTATCCCAGCTTTTTTCAAAGCTTTTACCCCATAGGAACGTTTAAAATTATTTCCAGGTCTCAGGGAAACTCCGCTAAAACCAGTTAATTGGGGGGCAGTGGGAAAATGCCTCTTACATAGACAGTTGGTTGAGAGAATGCGCTCCTTGCTGTGGTGGTGTAATCAACACCTTTACAATCAGTTAAAAAAAAAAAATTGGTGTCAAAACACCACCACACCAGCTCTAGATCTAAACATAAATATATTCAGAATTGATTGACATCTGAGACTTGTCCATAGACTTCCCTTGAAGGAACCTCAAACAGCAGATTCAATATATATGTTTTAAAATTCTTTCCAGGTCTCAGAAAGCCTCTGCTAAAACAATTTTATTGGGGGTCAGGGGGTAAAATGCTCCTTACATAGGTAGTCAGTTGGAAGAATGCCCTCCTTACTGTGGTGATTCAAGGGTCATTCTTACAGACAGTTAAAAATATCTCTGGTGTCATGCTGCTGGCTCTGCCAACTGGGTTGGACCGACAGTAGAACTATGCAGGCCCCATCAGATAGGAGGTCAATCAGCCACAGCTCAAGGAACCTGAGCAGCTAAGAGGTGGCTATATTTTCCTCCATAGGATAAGCCAACTGAAAGCTATGAGTAGGAAAGCATACACCAGCACTAGATCTAGATCTAAACATAAATATCTTCAGATCTGATTGGCACTTGAGACTTGTAAATAGACTTCCCTTGAAGGATCCTCAAACAGCAGATTCCTATATACACTACATAGCCAAATGTTTGTGGACACCAGACCATCACACCTACTTTATGACCATAATTATGCGGATCATTACCACTACCACCATGACAGCTTGTGGTCTTTGGTGAGCTTTAAACCTGGAATGTTGCTTTCCCCATCACTTTCCATTTGTCCTTGTCTATTTTGTCAGGTTATCGTTCTGCCTTACGTCACGGATGTCATTTCTTGGCTGTCATCCATCCACCGTATTCTTCTTCTCCCTTTTCCTTTCTTACCTTGTTCTCATCCACAGTTTTGCGTAGTTCCTCTCCAGACATTTTATTCCTTCCAGCAGACTCTTTGCAGCACCTCTTAACTGTCAGCCATGACTACGTTTGTTCATCTGATTTTTAAGGTCTTTCTGTAGCACAACAGTTCAAACTCATGATCTTCTTTTTTGGGACATTGTAAGGGAAAAAGTTTCTGCGCCATGCCTGATGTAGAGATGTCACCGGCGCACCATCGGCAGAAGCAACGTTTTGGGACCACTGAGGACCCCTACCTCTGGAAGGTAGTGATCACCAGAAGGGGGTCCTTTTCTATTCCAGCATGACTTTCCCCCAAAAACCTTTTAGAATTCAAACCACCAAATACAACACTAAAATTTAAATCTGGCCATCCAACCCAGTTCAAATGTATTGCCATACAAAATTTGGAATCAATTTCGTATTCTGATGCTGAACATACAAAAAAAAACCAGGCATGCTTAGAAACATTTTTGGCTTCTAGTGCTGACAGGGGCAGAGATATTGCCCTATATTTAGCTCCCCTGCTATTTGGTCAGATCCTATGTTTCAGGCTATTTAGATCAACCTTCTCCTAGACAAGCCTTTCTCTTTGTTTTGTTTTGTGCCCCCCGGGGAAGCAGCATTGCGTCTGCCAGGCCCATAGTGTTCCTGACAGATTGCGGTAATTACAGAGCAATGGCACTACTCCATGCCATATTGGGAGCCGCTCCTGTCACAATAAATGTCCCGTCGCTTTTGTGAGGATCTCTGGATGTTCGTAACTAAAACTGTTCCTGACATAATCCTCTGATTTGCTCCAAATTTAGCAGCGCGTACCTTAAGGGCAGTGCCCTTGTTATCTCGGCGCTGCCAGCCTCTCATTTGTGCGAGGGATTTGAAGTCTACAAATTTTCATTATACTGAAGAGACAACTATTTAAATAAAGAAAACTCCTAAAGGAAAAAAAGGTCATTTTGAGCTGTTATAAGGACTACTGCCTATGTGCAAGATATTTTTGCTTGCTTGTGCGGTCAAGTCACAAGACTCAATTTTTTTGTTGTGTGGGAAATATGTAAAAAAGATTATATGAGATGTTAAATTGTCATATTTTAAATTGAATATGCTAATGTTAGCAGCAGCATTATTATATACATATACACTATATTGCCAAAGGTATTGGGCCGCCTGCCTTTACACGCACATGACCTTTAATGGCATCCCAGTCTTAGTCCGTAGGGTTCAATATTGAGTTGGCCCACCCTTTGCAGCTATAACAGCTTCAACTCTTCTGGGAAGGCCGTTCACAAGGTTTAGGAGGGTGTCTATGGGAAGGTTGGACCATTCTTCCAGAAGCACATTTGTCAGGTCAGGCACTGATGTCGGGGGAGGAGGCCTGGCTCACAGTCTCCGCTCTAATTATTATTATTATTACTACGAGTTTATATAGTGCCAAAGGGTTTGCTCAGCGCTGTACAATAGGAGGGACAATACATCCCAAAGGTGTTCTATGGGGTTGAGGTCAGGACTCTGTGCAGGCCAGTCAAGTTCCTCCACCCCAAACTGGCTCCTCCTTGTCTTTATGGACCTTGCTTTGTCCACTGGTGCGCAGTCATGTTGGAACAGGAAGGGGCCATCCCCAAACTCTTCCCACAAAGTTGGGAGCATGAAATCGGCCAAAATATCTTGGTATGCTGACGCCTTAAGAGTTCCCTTCACTGGAACTAGGGGGCCAAGCTCAACCCCTGAAAACTACCCCCACACCATAATCCCCCCTCCACAAAACATTAAACTTGGCACAATGCAGTCAGGCAAGTACCGTTCTCCTGGCAACCTCCAAACCCAGACAGTCCATTGGATTGCCAGACAGAGAAGCATCCACTCCAGAGAACATGTCTCCACTGCTCTAGAGTCCAGTGGCGGCGTGCTTTACACCACTGCATCCGACGCTTTGCATTGCACTTGGTGATGTAAGGCTTGGATGCAGCTGCTCGTCCATGGAAACCCATTCTATGAAGCTCTCTATGCACTTTTGTTGTGCTGATCTGAAGGCCGCACCAAGTTTGAAGGTCTTTAGCTTTTGACTCTGCAGACAGTTGGTGACTTCTGCGCACTGTGTGCTTTCAGCATGCGCTGACCCCGCTCTGTCATGTGACGTGGCCTACCACTTGGTGGCTGAGTTGCTGTTGTTCCCAGTTGCTTCCACTTTGTTATAATCCCACTAACAGTTGAGCGTGGAATATTTAGTAGCCAGGAAATGTCACGGATGGACTTATTGCACAGGTGGCCACCTCTCACAGGACCACGCTTGGAGTCACTGAGCTCCTGAGAGCGACCCATTCTTTCACCAATGTTTGTAGAAGCAGTCTGCATGCCTAGGGGCTTGATTTTATACACCTGTGTCCATGGAGAGGATTGGAACACCTGAATCCAATGATTTGGAGGGGTGTCCCAATACTTTTGGCAATATAGTGTATATTATAGATCAGACTCACCAGGGGTTTTACAACATCCCTGGGCAGGACTTCTCCAGTCTGTTACAGTACATGCTGTGCAGATGTTTTCCCACCAAGGTGCGGCCAGATCCTGAGAACACTTGGCTTGCATTGTTCCACGGGTTCTGATGCATCTAAAATGTCAGTATTGCACAAGATTAATTGTTCTGCTCCATTTTCCTATATTTCTTATGCCTTGTATTGAAATGCATGAAGTTATTGGGGCAGTTTGGGGCCATTTCAACTTGTTTACTAATGTGATTTTAGTATCTTCCTGTTTAGTGCTAGTTAGTTTCTTCCATGTTCCCTCAGTCAGTGTTAGTTTTTCACAGAGATGGGGCTTAGGGAGTATTACACTTCAAAAGACTTGAAAAACACCATCTATGCTTCAAATAGCTCAAGTTAAATTGCATTGTGTTCAACTTCTGTGTCCTATTGAAGAGTTAAGCTGCCTGTGAGTGGTGCCAATTCAGCAAAGGACCATACTGTCCAGACACACTGGAGGTATTTCAATGCATTAAGCAGCACTTGAAACAGAACATGAATAACAGGAGTATCAGAGCTTACAAGGAAAATGTTCATGTTGGACCAAAGCCTTCTTTCAAACTTTCTACCATCGTTAATCTGTATTCATTTGCACTTTAACAATACCGCATTCTACTTTCTAATATTTTTCCAAATCCTCAGAGGAAAACCTACATTCTGATGCCCCTGGGGTAAAGCTTGGCATTGACTAGTTACAAGAACAGCTGTATCACTTCCTCCTCTGAACTCCCCTGTGGACTGCAGATATAAATAAAATCCAGGGACATGGAGGATTAAAATAGTATAAAGTTTACTTCCATTCCAGTAAAAACATAACGCACAAATGTCTACGTGTGTCATACATGATAAATGATGTTCCTAATGGACCAGTTGGGGGACTATTTATAAAAGGCAGAAAGAAACAATTTGACATTTTTATCACGGGAAAATGTTCTTCTATATATAAATCTTTTGGAGTCAGAATATTTTTTGTGGATAGATCTTGCCAGTTTAGTAATATAGCGATCACCAGTCAGGCTGGAACTACCTAATCATGTTCCAACAACCTTTTTAGAGGTAAAAGGAAAATTTCCATTCTTTGAGATTCATTTGAATGCAGAATGTTAGGAAGCAACTTTCTGATGGCTGGTGTACAGCAGGGCTAGGCTCCTTTGACAAATGTCGTTTGAAAATGTGATTTTTTTTTTCAAGCCAAGTGGTGTTGACTGGGCAAACAGAAATATATTTTGGCCAATTCAACAGCTTTAGAATTCCAGATATAACTATTTTTTGGGCTGAATTAGATAATGCCCTCAAAATGATAGAAGACCTCAAATGGTCAGTGGGTTAGAAGATCTTTCTTAACTGCTCCCAGACCCCTATGGGTGGGCGCCATTCCTCTCCTCCTGCCCTCTTTCCCCTTTAGCAGCAACTATGAT